ATGGTTCTAATTTGAGAAAAACAGACACGACCATGTTCGAAATTTTTCACACGACTTCGGTGGATAAACCATAAAGAACTGATTTGTAGCTGTCAGTTTTAGTTTGAATATTCTCTTTCATGTAGGTGCTAAATGTCTTGTAATAGCAGTAGATAGTTAAAAAAAAAGCTTCTCAGCAAAAGTGTTTTCTGTTTAGAGTTTGTTTTGTTTTTTTTGCAGAAATCAGATTGACTTTCTTCACCTGCTCTTTAGCCTCCACAGATTACAATAATTAGAACTTCATCCTAGAATAATTCTTCAGGATGGATCTTTCTGGAGGGACGTTTCTGGACGGTTCCTGAGTCTGTAAACTTGAACCTATACACTATATTTCAGTCAATAGAGTTTAAGCGACTCCACAGTTCACATTTTCCATTAACTTAAATGCAATACCTATTAAATCACTGATTTCTATGTGTGGAGAATAGAATAATGCCTTCCTCCCGTAACCCACCTGATGATCCACACTGTCAGTTAGGGGCTTGACAAAGACCTACTTTTCCTCAAAGAAAAGACAAAAAAGGACTTTTCTGATCATTATAAACTCACTCATATTGTGGAAAAAATAAGGAATACCATCCATCAATATTATCAAAATAAGACTATTCTAAAAACTACAGTAGGCGAGCTTTGATTGCCTTATAATATTGTAACAGCTAATAATAGCACCTGCGTTTGAGCTTACAAAACAGGAAAAACTGAGGGTTCAGGACACTCAGGAGCCATGGGATAAAAGATGAAGGACAAAGGTAGCATAACAGACACAAACCTAAAATGACCCAGAGCTACAATGAAAGTGCAAATCTTTGTCACTGATCTTCCTTAACAGTAATAATGATGCACTTTTTGGCACCAAATAACCAGCTGTGATTACTGAGAGATACATTCACTTTGTCAACCACATAAAGATATTTATAGGGCAGATAAGACAACATGTAGCAATGCTCTGAAAACACAAAATGCAAATTTGAAGAAAAGTTCAACAATGAGTTGAACAAAAGCATAATGCATTGTATTTATGGCATAAATTACATTAAAGTAACTTAAATATGAGCTTTCTTAACATATGAAACCTAAGTAATAATTTTTATGCTGTAGCTGCTCCACTGCTATTAGGAAACGTCTGATGGTTTATTTTGGCACGGTTAACTTTCCGTACGTTTTCTTTTTCTTCTTTTTTTTTTAATCCAAGACTTATACATTTCTGAGAAAGACTTCACAGTTTTTTCTGCCATAGTTAAATTGCTGAGCAGACATATCAGATTCAGTAGTTCGCCTGTATTATGCTGACTTTTCTACTCCACACAAGCTTGTGCTCAAACAAAAGCTGGAGAGAAATACAATGATCGACCCACCAATTTTAGATGTAACAAGAGTTCTTTGCGCCGCAACTGAACTATTTTTGCTGCACAGAACTAAACATATTTTCAGATTCCTCGAAATGTATGCATTCAGCAAAATCTTACATAACTAAACCTTTTCTGAGAATAGCTGAAAACAACTTGAAGTCTCAAATCCATTGCAATAAATGGAAAATAAAACCCAGTTCATAAACTAAACATTTCCTGAAAATACATGTATATAAACTTTTTATGAGACACGAATCTAAATATTTACACACAGGAGTGTTTTAAAGCTGAAGAAGGCATTAGGATAAATCTTCAGTTAGACAACGCTGTCATATATTGCTGATTTTGTTTGCTAGTATTAAACACAATGAAGTCTGAATTCTAGAAAAAGTCGAGACTAATAAAACTATAACAATTACTGTATGCAGTGTTTTCTTTTTTTATTTCCACTACACAAAAAAATGTTTTTTCTTTCTGCTTAGAAAAAAAACTGCACTGTTTGATTAGAATAGCTGGCACAATTACAGGCGTTTAACGGCATTCGGCTTTCCAAGATGTTGCACACTTGCAGCCAAAAGCTATTCGCAAGCTACTGGAAAGCTGTCATTAGAAACTTGACAGTGCAAAGACTCAAAGCGGAGCGGTAATGGCCGGTTGTTTCTCATAACAGTCAGATTATCGCCCTGCAGCCTGACATCGACAAACCCTGCTGGAAACTATGTCAGTTTTGAGCAATTATTTCTATGTTTGCCAATGCCACTTCTCCACAAAAACACGTGCAAGTGTATTATGAAGGCACAAGTCCTTTCTGATAGTTGGGACAACTCCAATTAGAAGTTGGATTCTCCCACTAAATGGTGTAGCATGAAGACTCCAGAAATATATCACACAATGATGCATGTAAATAAACAACAAAAGAGCCAATAGCGATTAAGTTTTAAACTCTCTAAGGAGAGGGAGGGAGTGTGTAACTCAAACATTTTCCTCAAAAATGCACCAAGACTCTGCACAGTCGCTTGGTGCCAGGAGAAAATTTATTAGACTGTCAAATAACAGAATCCATGTTTCATTCAAGCCTAATATTCAGGTTTCAGGTGGAATATCAAACACTCACTAACTCGACCAAAAGAACAATTGCAGGTACAGTAGGAACTAGATATTTTACATACACGGTATACAAACTACATAACTACTTTATGTCACTAACATGTTTTCTGTTTTACATCAGGATTACCTAAATAATTTCCATTGCCTACATGCCAGAATCGACTGAAATTATTTGTAATTATCTTTGATGTTCTGATGTTTATTCATTTCCTCAGAATTTGGTAGCTCTGCTTTTTAATACTGCATGACTTGCATCAAACGTTTTGGGCTTCCTTCCCAAAGCTTTTTATGTCCCCATAGTTTGCTGGACTCTTGACCCATTCCTCCTGACAGAACTGGTTTAACTGAGTCGGACCGTAGGGAACTGTGCTCACACACGCAGCTTTTAGGAACTTTCTAAGGAGCCGACATCAGGACTTTGTGACGTCTTGTCCAAAAACATGGACTTTGTGATCCCCTCAATATTTGCAAATGTTTTGTCCACATGTTGCCATCTGCTTGATGAAGTACACCAGCCGCTGCCGCGGCAAAGCCTCCGCGCAATAATGAGGTTGTCAGTGACATACTTTGCAGTTGAGCTGGTTTACAAGCTTCACCTTTTTCTTCCAAATGTAACAATTATTGGCAAATACTTCCCATTTTTGGTCTCTTTAACCACAGGAGTAAAAATATGAAGGTTGTTTCCATGTTTTCTTTTGTATACTGTAGACAGGCTTTTCTGCGGCTTTTGGAGTAAAACATGATTACATCTTTGGAAAGCAAAATCTCCCTTAGCTACATGACCACTACACATTCCCATGCTGTTTATATATATATATATATATATATATATACCTAAATCGCTTGAACGGATGAACGCCACATCACAAGACACCTGAAAATTAAAGCCAACCACGAAGCAGTTTTTGACAGTCATTCACACGCCATTGTAAACGCGGAGACAAAAGTTTGGCGTCATTAAAAAAAATATTTGTCTAAACTTCTGACCGACTTGCAGCCTTTATCTCTGAGGACTACATGAAACACCATCACTCACATCTGAATCACTTTTATCAGTCAGTTTACTTTTCACAATCACAGGATGCATATCGAGAGGTCAGAAATCTCCAGTCTGAGGTAAGTTCTCCCTCCACTGTCTTATCTTCATAAAAGTAAACATGAGTCTGGATTTGCTCAGAGATTCCTTTGCTTTTCCCCTTATAAATCTAAAAGTAATGATGGAGAATGATGCTTAAAATCTGTGCAGTCCCCAAATGGGAGTATGTAATACGATCAGTCTGAAATGGGGCGTGATACAAAAGACTGATGAGTACTGAGATCATTTTCATAGTCAGCGCTCACCGAAAGAAACTATAAAATCAGACGAAAGAAGAAGAAAAAAAAAATGACTTGACGGTGCAGAGAACAAAGTTAAAAAGGTCACGTTTAAATTTATGTAACAATAAAATAATGAGAGATTTTATGATTCTCAAACAACAACAAAAATAAGAGAAAGGTGATATTTCTTTTCTTTTCTTTTTTTAAATATCACACTAAAACTTCCCAGACTCAGCACAAATATACTCATCTGCTTCAGTTTTAATCCGCACAGCATCATCCATAAACACATCCCCACAATTTACGAGAAGCTGGTTCAAAGGCCTTTTTCAGAAGACAATGAAGCAATTCATTCTGCTTTTCAGGACGCTGAGGGCACAACTGCGCTTCGAGAGAACTCATAAATGCCGAGGCGCATTCAGAAGACATATGGTTTGTGTTTGGAGGAGAACAAACAATAATCAAATCTGTTGATCCTCTTCTTGCTGAGGGGAGGGAGGGTCTGCTAATATAAAACTCTGTTCAGGGTAATCATAATTTAGGGAGTGTAATTACCACCACCATCCCCAATCCTCTCACATCAACCCGAGGAGAATTGGGCTTCCACAGAGACTTAAAGGTTCCAGTCGTGGAAAGAGCTCATTTCATCTGCACAATCCTTGTTTAAAAGATTTTAATCTCCTGAGGCGAATGTTTTTAAAATATTTTTATGAGTTTATTTTAGGAATACTACCTATCACAACTCCAAGATGCAAAGCTTTGTATAAATATAAAAAATCTACTACTTTCTTGAACACTGTTGTGCCTTGTTAACACACTCTGGCTTATAGCTCCACGTGGCTTTAGATGTGACAGGGAGGATGCTTTGATTCTGCTAATATTCACGAACAGGCAAATAAATCCCAGGGAGCTCTGTGTTTAATTATCAAGCCTAATCTGAAACTGCAAAAAAAAAAAAAAAAAAAAAACACACACATCTGCATCACAGGATGCTTTATGGGGCAATTTAGCAGCAACGATAATAAGAACGTCTCAGTAAGTTCAAATCCAACAATCAAATGTGGTTCATTTGAAATGACACAATTGCAACGTAAACGCGTCTGAACTGATTTCAGTCGCCCTCACCCTAACCCATAAAATAACCACGTCAGCATCCCTGGAACATTTGCTCGCGCTGAACGCGCCTACCTTGGAGCGGCGGCAGAGAGAGGCACAGGCGCGCACTTTTGGCCGTCAGATGCGCCCTTTCCTCGGACTGAGCGACGAGCCGCTTCGGGCAAGCGGAGCTCATGCCGTGAGAGTCGCTGGGGCTCCTGTAGATCTGCGACCCGAAGCCTCTCCGCGCGCACATCTCCTCCGCCTTGCCGCCGAACACCGAGAGCGTCAAGCCGGTGATGTCCGGGAAGGTTTGGGTCTGACAGCGACTCACCATCCCTACCTGCGCTGAGGAGCGGTGCATCGATCAGTCGGGCAACCCTTGGCCGCTTCTTCACATTCCCTATACGGACGCGGCAAGAAAAAAAATAAATAAATCACAGCAACTCGTTCCAAAAACTCAAACGCGGCCAGTCAAAATGATTTAGCCGAATCGGGGAAAAAAACAACAACAACAACAAAAAAAAGACACACACACACACATACACACACATAAGAAAAATGTGGCAATATACCTTATTCAGTCGTTTAATAAGGGTCAGGGTAAGTTTAAATGTCATGTTAAACTGAAGAGGAGAGAAAGCCTGATCCATAGCATCGTCTTCAGTCGCTCAGCATCCCCATTCTGCCGCTCTCCCTCTGTGAGATTGACAGATCGCTGCGCTGGTCTGCAGGATTCAGGAGCGCCAATAAGGACTGGGTGCGCGTTTCAGTGGGAGGATAAGATCTGGGTAGGAAGCTGTAGCAGCTGCACTCATTATGATAAGACTCGTTTCTTCATATAACTTCATGCTGCGTTGTTGGTGGGCAGTCAAACTACTGATATTGTCTCTTTTTATTCTTTCAGTTCAAGTTGAATTTTTTACCCTTTTTTTTTTGTTTGTTTTCTATTTTGGTTTGTTTGTTTTTTGACAGCGGAAAATTCAACCATGTTTTTTTTTCTTACCGCCCAAATCTTCTGCTTGAAGAATAAAACCCCGAAAAAAAAAACATTTTCCAAGCAGTTATTTAAAATTAACATATCTTTTTTTTTTTTTTTTTTTACTTAATTTGGTTCAATTCAAAAAGATCCTAAGGAAAGAAGATTGTATTAACTTATATAGGCCTATAATAATAAAAAAACATATATATATTTGGGTTACTTTCCTGTGAAATACATTCGTTAAACATACTCACTGCAGAAAAATGACAATCGAAAGGATTTTATTATGTCTCATCTTTAGATCGATGAATGCCTCGAGTCTGCATTTTTCAGCGAGGAGATATGGCTCCGCGCCGCCATCTAGTGGCGTTTATGAGGAATAACAAACGCTAAAAAGCCGAGGTTAACAACTCACCTGCGACGTGAGTCATGCGAGATATCATGCGTTTTCTGAGAGCAGCTTAACCTGCGTTATAAAAACTAAAGTACATGCCCTACAAGGGGCTCTCTGTCCGGCTTAGATTTGGCGCCGGCAGTTCGGCGTTTTCTCCGTGTTACTCGAAAATACGAGCATGCAGAGAGGTCCGTGAAGGCATCGGTTACGCAAGCGCGCGGTAACAGGCAGAGTTTGTTAGTGCAGGACGGGAGCCGAGAGCCGCGGTGACAACGGACGGGACGATGTTCCTGCAAAAGTCGGTCGTCTATTTGACAGCGTCGTGCATGTTCTGCTACATTATAGCTCTGAGCGTCATCCTCAACATTTTAAAAGTTCTCTCGCCAAACCTCGCCAGGAAGCTCATCCTGAAACTGGGAGAAAAAGCCACGATGACCCAAAATCCCAAGTTCACCTACGAGGACTGGGGCCTGACTTACGGATCGCTTGCATTTGTTAAGGTCGCCTCGAAGACGATGTGGCTTTCACTGGGACAGGAGGCTTTCGTAGGAGGAGAGGCTCCAGACTCACCTGTGATCAGCATGGATGGGGAGACGACCAGCATCTGCAAGTACCTCAAAGGTGCGTATTTTGGCCCCCGGACGCGCACGCGCCCCCCGCCTCTGTAACTTTTGCTGCGTCCCAATCCGCAGGCAACAGGCCGCTGGTGTTGAGTTTTGGGAGCTGCACCTGACCCCCGTTTATGTTCAAGCTGGACGAGTTCAAGCAGCTCGTCAGGGACTTCGGGGACGTGGCGGACTTTCTCGTGGTCTACGTCGCTGAGGCCCATTCCACAGGTGCGTGGAATCCAAAGAAAGCGGAGTTTTTGGGGTACAGTGATTAATTTGTACACATGCGCAGTTCATTCATTCTCACGCCCCAGCCACACGCTTTAATGTGATGTTATGTGGTAAACGCAACGCAAAGCAGTGCATGAGTTGCAGGAATTTACAATTAAAATATCAAAAATGGGTTTTCTATGCACTCCATTTAATTCTGATACACCAAGTTGAAAAATAAATAAGTCACGAGTGTTTGTTCTCATATTTACTGGAGGAAAACAGTCATCCAACCTACCCTGGCCTTATGTGAAAATAGAATTGCTCATCTGAATGGAATTAAGCCATTTCACTTACAAAACCGGGCAAATGTTTCGAGTTCTGTGTGAGCACAGCTGGTGGAGACATTCTCCTAAAGACTTGGAGCTGTAATTGCACTGAAAGCTTTGACTGGGTAGGACTGAATGCAAAGGCACAAACGTGACTTTTAGATTTTAATTTGCAAGGTAAAGGTCATTTTATTTATACATCACATTTTCAGGAACAAGGCAATACAAAGAAAGCAAATTTAAAAAATCAAATGTGTATGTATTATTTGCCTTCGACCTCACCTTTATGAAGTGCTAATTTTGTGCTTTAGATACTTAGGAAAAACTGGAGTATGCAGTTGCAAATGCAACTTTGATTGACAGATCCCTGCTTGTTTAGGTCTTTCTCCATTTTACATTCTGGCTAACATCAGAAACATTAAAGTAGTTACAAAATAAGGTTGTAACTCCTGGAACATATTGTAAAAGCCTTTATGATCCTCGTTTATGTCCTGCTGCACTCTTTGTGATTTAAATGAAATCACCTGTGTGCGTGTCAGATGGGTGGTCCTTTGGCAACAACTTTGACATCAGTGAGCACCGGAGCCTGGAGGACAGGCTGTCTGCAGCACAGATCCTGCTTCAGAATGACCCGCTGTGTCCCGTGGTGGTGGATGAGATGAGTAACGTCTCGGCCATCAAGTACGCTGCCCAACCTGAGAGGCTGTACGTGCTGCAGGCTGGAAAAGTCCTTTATAAGGTGGGAGCTTTGCACCTCTTGCACCAGAAATGGCTCACATGTGTGACACTTAAACAGCTAGGGCGCTGGCGCATGTAAATAAAGATAAAGTGCAATGACCACACACGATTTATGACTGAAAGTTGTACAAAATAAACATGAATAAAGATGGTGGTCATTTTTCAAGCAAATTGTCACCAAGATGCAGTGAAATACCAAGAAAAACACAAACAAGTGTGATTTCTAATGTTTAAAGTAGTTGTTGCAGACGTCGGTACAGGTGCTAGAGGGTTTTCCAGGAATCTAAAGTTGAATATCAACCTCCTTGTGTTGAAAAGACTCAGGGGGAAATTTGGAGCTTATCCAAAATATCCTGCAAAACAAGAACATTCTGTGCAGCTCCTCCTTTTGTCATGCCACTGTCGAGGCTGGAGTTAAGTAGATGTGTGGCTGTCCTCGCTCTGATCACACGGCATTGCGTGATTAGGACCAGTGAAAACAAAACAGACGCTCAAGAAGAATTCTTGGTATGCAGTAATATTGTTGATAACATCAAACCGGAACGATCTCTTGCCAAAGACGCGTTTCGTGACGACTTGTTGATCTGCTTCTGCCTTCGGTGAAAGTTAAAGGTTTTAGCGGTGACGCAGCCGTAACGCTTTCTCTCTTTTTCTGCAGGGCAAAATGGGGCCCTGGGGCTACGATCCTCTGGAAGTGCGTTCAGTCCTGCAAAAGATGAAATAAGTTGAAAGCCGCTGTTGCTGGAAATGCCTTGTTTGACTGCAGCTGATTGGAATCTGCTTGTCTGACTGTGTTTTTAAACTCTTTATTGGCCCTGAATCAAAATACTGTTATCGCTACGTGAACTTGTGCCTCGATGGCATTTACCACTGAATAACGGCAGCTATTATAATTCCTTTGCTCCGTTGCCACCCCCTGGCTCCCCTGCCACTTTCATACACACGGTCTTAGCTCAACCTCAGCTCTGTGTTTCTTAGTGACGGCCGCAGATGAAACCGCTGGGATCTGTGACCAGATGAGGTGAAACATGGAAAAGGTCAGCTTGGAGTTTGTTTATAAAGGTTGGTAGGAGGGAGCTGGTGTCTTAAATTTAAAACATAAACTGCTAATTTATTTTCTGTGCCAGCATGCCAGTATATTCTATAAAAATCAAAGATGTAAGTAAAGATTTATCTACTCATTTCGTGTCTTTCGCTTAGCTGTAATCGGGTTTCGGAGCTTCTCAGGGAAAATCCAAACATGCCTCGCTAGTGACAATGAACATATCATGATACATTTGTAAGGACTTTGTTATAAACCAACAAAAAATGACTGGACTGGAAAGGAGATGTATACATGGTTTTCAAAACTTTTAACAAGCGAAGCCTTAAAACTGCGGCATGCTTCAATTGGACTTTCGACGACTTACTTCTTATTTCTTTGACCGTTGTTGTAACATGAAGTCCCTTGATATATAAAGATAAAACTTCTTTTTGGAGGAAAACCTGCCCAAGAGGTCCTCCGGTGAAAAATGTTCTACTGCATTAATTCCTGACAATATGGAAAAGTTCAGTGACCATACATACTTTTGCAAATTACTGTCGATCAACCTGGAAATAAACTAACCCTGATAGAAACTAACTAAAGGTATATACTTTAAACTTGCCTCGATTATTGGGTTAGTTCCCCACAATATTGCCCTCTCGAAGAAACTAGCTGGATGGACCTAGTATCAGGTGAGTCACAGTGACTCACCAGCCTACTGGAATAGAAAAAGACTGCTGCAAAATTCACAGAGGACTTATTATTGCTTCACAGAAAGGCTCTCCAGGTGCTGACTGTCTGGAGGCAATAACAATACAAAAGAGTGTTTGTCATCAGCAATCTGATTCTGTGCAGATGTGCAAGTTTGAGTTGTGAAGCTCCACATTCAGGCTGCTATGCTGGTTATTGCTTAACAGACTGTTCTCAGCTGATTCCTGCATTCAGCACTTTTGCTGTTACGCAACAAGTGTTTGCTTTTTATAGCATATCAAAGTGCATATCTGTTTCGCCTGGAATCAGAAGCACAGGAAAAAAAACCTTTTATTACCAGTATCAAAATATTACAATGCCGATGTATTTTTGCTTCATTTCCACATGTTTCTTTACAAAATACAATAGTTTGAGCAAAATAAAAGGTCACATTGTTGCTTTATGTGTCTCAGCTCATTCCGTGAGGCCAAGAACGCTACATTATTAAGACGACATTTTGTTTATAAGTCTACCACATGGATAAAAACATACATATTTTCATGTCCTTGCAGCTTTGACAGCACAAAACTGTGTAGCTCTAAGTTTGTAGGTCTGAGTGTGTTTGGCTCTGGCCCAGCCAGCTCACATCCTGTGGAGGCAGGCCCAGAGCGGCTCAGCCCGGCTGACTTCCCTTTGTCGGGACAGGAACCAGAATACTGTCAGAACCTCCCAACTGCTGTCCTGTTTGGACACAAACTTGGACCTTGAAATGTGAAGACCAAGCAGTCACTGCATGACATGCAGGTTCTACTTCAGTCCACCAGGGGGCAGTTTGTACGTTACATAAAAAGTGCGTCTGGTTTTAATCTTGGACCAAAAAAACCAAGAGTACATTTGTACCAGACTTTTATCGCAGTTTTCAAAGCCAGTTTGAAAAACTGCACTTCTGAATCATGTGTGAACTGTGGTTGTCTCACACAGGATTCTTTACTTACTTAATTTCTAAAAAAAAAAATAAAGTTTAATCTCTCTGCCACCCCTCTCCCCAAAAAAACACTTGCCTATTTTTATGTACCTTTTAGTTTCACATGTCCAATCAAGGGAACAACGTGCCTTTTAGACATTTAAATAATAGTGAAAACAATACCATCGTTTGATACTCACTAGTATTGTTTGACGTTTTGAAAAAAGAGAAATAAATGAACTTGTTCCTAACATATTGGCCTTATTCTTTCCTCATTCAGCTCCAGGTTTAATCTTCACACCATCCACCATCCTCCCTTATTAGCCCAAGCGAACACTTCTACCCAAATAACAAAAACATGGCCCATGAAACTGAACAAAAAGGAAAAGAGTTAATGAAATTATTTGCAATAAAAATTTTTTTTTGCTCCTTCAGCATCCTTAGCACCACATTTAGTGATGGTGATGCTAAAACAAATCTAGGCTGTAGTTTTGTAACATTTATTCCTGTTTAGGTATTTAGTAACAGTATAAAATGCAGCCAGTGACACATGACGCTTGCCTACAAAACAGTTTATTAATTGCAATTTTCCACACAATTAATTAGTTTGATTTGTAATCAGTTTTTTGGCCAGTCTTCTGCTGCACAGGACTGGCAAAATGTTCCTGAGTGTTCAGCAATTCTGAGTGGCTGCCAGGTATGCAGGTTTTAGAGAACGTCTGTGTGATTTTACACACGTTGCCCAGAAGGTGGCAGTGTAGGGACGGGTCACTTTAAAGTATGACATCAGCACCCACACTGATAAAAGAGAGCAGCTTTTGAGTGGCTGCCCACTGTGGAGACCACTAAAAGGCTTGAATGTTATACACCAACGATTCATCTTACTGTTGAGATGCAGTGGAATTGATGAAAACCACTATAAAAGTAAGTTAGTTTTTGCCAAGCTTTCATTGTAGCATATAGAAACAATCTATATGGTTATCTTTTTCCATGCCATGATTTTAAAAACCCTGTTTCAAAACATCCGTAGGTCTAAAACGTAATGCCGTGTAGCCAATCTGTGATGGATACAAAAACAAGAGCCCACCTCGCTGCCTTTCACACGGCGAACTCTGATGAGCCCAGACCTGATGAGGAGGAACTTCCTCCGTCACAAAGGCTTCCACAGCCCAGGATTTCCTCCAGTTGACAGGGTGGTTTCTCCTGCAGCATCAGGCTTTAAAGCAGACACTGAGGGAGTTCATTAGAGGTTCAGAAAAGAGCGACTTCAACTTCATAGTTGATTTATATCCGCTGTTAAAGCTGTCGTTGCACACTAGCTTATGCATCTAAAATTAGAATAACATCGGTTAGTTTAAGTAAATCAATCTGAAGAGAAATTCAACTATTCCTTTACACGATACAGTATGTCAAATATTTGTTAGTTTTGACACAGCTAATACACAACCCCAAATTCAGTTTCTCAGAAATAATCGCATCAGACTAATGGTCTTTTTTTTTTTAAAAATGACCTGAAATAGCGAAGTGTGGTCCTACTTGTTCTGATGAAGTTTTTCATCAGTTGTTCATGGCTTCATGGATGAGATCAGCCTCTGGCTCTGCTGAGGTGTTCAGGAAGCCCAGCTTGTTTTAGCTCTGCCTTCAGTTCATCTGATTGGTTGGTTTTGGTGTCTCAGCTTCCTCTTGACAATACAGGTGAGCTTGCTGGTCAGTCCATCACAGTAACACCACAGCCATCAAAGCAGATATAGAAACTTTTTACTTCGACGACAATGAAAAGAAAGTATGCACCTCTGTAATGCTTGAGAGCAGAAGGAAACATCAAGTGGTTTGTAATCCGGCGCAAAAAACAACAGAGGACCAACAACAGAGAATGTCACGGCTCTATAAATCGCTTTCTAGATTCTGGGACCTTGATTTTCCAATAAAAAATGCCCTTTCATCTGGAAGATAAGAACGTTTCCAGAATTGAGCAAAAGTCTAACCTTTCTACTTAATCACTTTTCATGTCGTCTCGGGTTCAGTAGAGGCTTAACAAGGAATGTACGAGTTGTAGCCCATGTCTCTGTCTGTTGGTTACTAAAGCAATGACTCCAACTGCAGTACACACACCCTTTTTATTAAACTTTTTCCCTCCACTCAACTTTCCATTAATATACTTTAGCTAGAGCTGCAGAATATATCCTGCTGACATCATTGCTGCTTGGACTCAATATTCAATAGAACATTATTATCAATTTGACCTCAGTAAAATACGTTTATTTAAATGGACACCAACTATCTGGATGACTGGTTAATGGCTGAGATGCTGAAATTCACAGAAAGCAGTGGGAACATTGTAGAATTGTTTCGTCAATGTGGGTTTAACATAATCGAGATTGTAACTTTTAGCAATGGTATATGATCCTGATGTCATGCACTGCTATCATGGATACAACCAGGTCAACACCTCCAATGCAGGTCAGTCATCTAGTCACCACAATATTCTGCAGGCTATTAAAATTATGTATCAAAATTCATGTTATAGATCGTTCAAATTTTCTGAGAAACTGCATTTTGAGTGCTTGCTAGTTTCAAAAACAAAAAAATTACTAGAAATTAGCATTTGGTATGTTCTACACTTGTAGTTTTATATAGTTTTGAATTTATATCAGGATCAGGCTTTGAAATGAATCGCCGAAACAAATTGAGTTGACAATGGTTTCCTGATGTCTTAAGGTGCACCTCCATAAGTCTGGACCATGTTATCTACATTCAGCCCAAATAAAAACTCACACAGTGAAATAAGTTATTGTAAAATTATATTAACAAGCAATCTTTCCTCAATTTGAAATAAAAAAATATCAGCAAATAAAGGCAACATAGAACAGATGTGTATAATGTGTAATGTTCACAGGAAAAAAAAAAAACTAAACAAAATAGAACAAAAACTTCTCATCACATTTACAAGACTGATGCTAACTTTATAATGACCCCTACTAGAATCAGTTTAGAAAGCTTTGACCAACTGAATAACTGAGGCAATATACGTAGTCAAAGTTTTTTTTTTATCAAAATATTAAAAAAAAAAAAAAGTTGGACTAAAAGGGGGGAGGTTAAATGGGGGCGACCAGTGATATAAACAAACGGGCCATTTTATCGAAACGAAACCAAAAAGACAAAAAACACGGAAGGCTACAACGATGAGGAGCACAGAGTGTTAAGCACAGGCAGGTAAGGAGATACACACCACATCTTAAAGCAGGTGTCCACATAGAGAAGAGCAGCACTAGGTAGTATGTTGTACACAAACCCTCAGCACTCATGCACTCACTTCCTATGCCAAAGTCTGGCTTCACCTGACAGCAAACAGCAGCCGCAGCAGTCCAGCTGTTTGAACGAAGCAGCTCAGAGAGTGGAGCCGTTTAGCTGTCAACAATAGGCCGGAAAAGGATCAAACTGGATCAATAGGATATGAGGAAAAGTAAAAGCCACATTTCTCTCACACATTTTACCCTTAAAATCTCTTTAAATAGAAGGACTGGTTCAGAAGGGAGTAGTACATTATTATTAAAGGTGGCCGCTGGGGGACATGGGGAAAAGGCAAATTCAGAATCCTATGTCACCCAACATAGTGAAACGGTATGCATGGCAAAATATATATATATATATGTTTATATATATAAAAAAAAATTATAAAATAAAAAGGACAAGACAAAGACGTTCCAAGCTCACAATGCATATGCACACTCTCCAGTGTTTAAATGACAAAAGCGGATATTTCCTGCACATTTTGCACCACGAAGCGATCATTGAAATGTACAAGAGGTAAACGTCAACCTTTTTTCTTTTTTTTTCCTGTTCACTGAGGAAGGTTGATGGGACTCGGTGGCAATGGAAGGGGGGCTTCTGCAAAAGGAACATAAAACGTGTCATGTTTGCATTTCAGTAGCTGGTTTCTGTCACATGTGGCTGTAATAGATGGAGAAAATTGTCCTTCATTTTGAGTAAGGAGCAGTGGTCGCTTGCATTCTGGCATTAGTGTGGAACCAAAATGGCGCCTGTCCCTGATTTTGGCGCTGATGTGTTTTGGCCATTTTTCGGTTGCGAGTTCAGATCCTTGGAATGATGGCAAATAATGCTGGGTGGGGTTTGAGGGGTGGGAGGCGATGGGACGGAGGTGGAAGGAGAAGGGGGTCACACACTCATCGTCATGGTGGGAGAGTACTGTGGAAGAAACAAAGCGGAGGATAAGGATTAATGACGGCGCAGGTTTTCAGGTCAACGTGTTCCCTGAAGCTTTACTGCTAGGGTCATTTGGTGAGGAGGCTAAAAAAGAAAAGCCACTCACGTTCTCACTCTGGAAGGAGTGGAGGAAGTTTCCACTCAGCTCTCCGTCATCCCGCGGGGTCCCGGGTGGATTGCTAATGCCACTTAAATTGTTTGGGGAATTCTGGAAGCAAGAAGATCACAGTCTGATTTTCTTTCTTCTTAAACGTATAGGACATCATTCC